TTGTATCACAATAGTAACAATCAACTTCGTTGCACGTGCAATAATGGAAATTTAAAGATGAACTCATACTAAAGTTGTAAAAAGATCTATTTTTACTATAAATCCAACAATTATATATGTGAATTTATACACCCTTCAACTCCGCGTAACTGCCTTGTCAGTCCGCGTAACTTACTTGCCAGTTTGTAGTGCTTCTCAGTTCACAGAACTGACTTGTCAGTCCGCAGAACTTACTTGCCAGTCTGCGGAAACTAAATTGGCAGTCCATGGAACTGAGGTGCTAGTCCGCAAAACTGACTTGTCACATCCAAAGAAGGGTTCCCGTTGCTTAAAACAACATAAATACACATTTTCACAACATTATTTATTATAAAAATATAGAACTTAATAAAAACATAGAAGTTAACAAGGTTTACATACACCGTAATAAAAACATAAAAACAAAACAAAGCACATACTACAACTAAGGTTTACATAGACCTTAATAAAAACTAACATTCGTTATGATTCGAACGTTACAATTCCATTATATTGCAAATGGAGGTATGACGACCACCATTTCAATTAGTATTGCCCATTGCATAAGGTTTGGAATATGATACACCATCCCAGTTTGGAAAGCATTTTGATACACTGCAGAAGTCAACTTATAATTTACCTTTTGCTGGATTTCTTCAACTTCAAGCCTTTGTAGTGACGCTATTGCATGTTCACAAGGTATACCAAGCTTTTGCCATTTGCCGCAACTACAAATATCATGGTCTAGTTGCACCGATTCAGTGGTTAAATACTTTCGCACTTCAAATATGTCGCTACCAATACGTTTAATCCTACAACCATCAGATTGGATAAATCTTTTTTGAATCACCTTCTGTGCACAAGGGGTCAGATGACCATAACTCCCCCCCTGTGAAAATTATTGATAAATTACATATAAAAATAATATTTGATAAATTATAATAACATTTAATTTTTACCTTCGAATTCAGCTCGTTGAACATACACTCCTTCAAACGACTCATGGATCATTTCAAAGATTGAATCACCTTCAATGGTTAAATAATCTAATCTAATTTACGATAACATGAATGGCGATGGATTTAACATTGAAACGTACTTTAGGTAAAAAACCTCGTGTCCATTTTGAAATGGTAATATTGTCAAGTCAAACAAGCTCATTCCTAGTAACCTCATTTTGTAATCTGTTCAATCACGCATAAAATTCAGACACGCTATATGTTTTGCATGTTTGCCAGAACAACTGTTCCACAACGATATTATTTCTAGGGGAAGCCTGTATTTTCTCAGTTATACTTTTACAACAATACCCATGATATGAATCGGGGTAGACTCTCCGAACGGTGTAGTCTATTGAGCCAGCCATATAGCTTATAAAACCAACTTCCATACTGTCACCTAAGTTTTTTTTCAACCTCCTCATGAACCAAGCCCAAGAATCTACACAAATCTATGGTTCCCAAAGCAAATGCTATGAGCAGAGGTTCATGATTTCCGTCCAAAGACACTGAAATGTACATTATTGTTATGTTGGTCCCAATAAGGGGCACATGAGCAACAAATATGATTGGTATCATAGAGGTGAAAAATGTACAAATCTACAAGAAAAGATACCGACATTATCCACAAACACATATTAGAAATGAATAATAATTAACTATAAAAGGTGTCGTACCACGCATCCCAACGCCACAAAACAAAATTGAAAATGATCTCTCAAATATTTCTTAATGCACGTGAACGAATTAGGATTGGTTCTTCTTAGATTATGAAAGAATACTGGTAGGTTGGAGAAACTATGTTTTAATACCTCATTGAACGAACTCATTTTGACAACTTCTAAACAAGAAAATGGTTCTCAATTTAAATAGATATCCAATCAAAGGAACTGTTTGTCAATCCGTAGATCTATTTTTCATTCCACAGAGATGTTTGTCACTCCGCAAAGATGTTTGTTAGTCCGTATATCTGTTTTGTCAGTCGGAAATGACAACACACAGTTGTTTGCATGTCGAAGGAACTATTTGTCAATCTGTAGATCTGTTTGTCATTCAGTGGAGATGTTTGTCAGTCTGTAAAGATGTTTGTCAGTTCATAGATATGTTTTGTCAGTCCAAAATGAAAACACACAGTTGTTTGCCTGTCAAATGAGTTTTTTGTCAATCCGCATATATGTCTGTCATTCTGTGAAGATGTTTTTCAGTCCGCAAAGATGTTTGTCGGTCCACAGATGTGTTTTGTCAGCCCGAAATGACAACACATAGCTTTTTTTAGTCCATTTTTCTTATTTAAGTAATGGATTAATCTCTAAGAAATTCACATCTCTATTAAAAATTGGCCTCTAACGCACCAACTTCTTCCAACACATCACCGTCGTCCATTACTACACGTCCATAGACGGCAACAGAGGTGATGGTGGTAACATGATGTTGGATGAATGTTAACGAGGGTGTAACACCAATGGCTCCCCCACACTACCTTGTAGGTGATGAATGGACCCACATAACAAGTTTGTTCAGTCATGAGATGGGATGGGGACGACACCGGGTAAAAGCAAATATGGTTACTAAATGGAGGGATTTAAAGGAAAAAATAACATGGTTCAATCGATGGTATCGTTATGTTAAAAATAGAAAGTACTATTACACAGACGATGAAGAAATACAAATTGTTAAAGACAAATACTTATTCAAGCGTGATGGAAGTGAGTTCGAGTATGAGGATGCTTGGAATCTGGTTAAAAATATGCAATATTTCATGTAGACGACTATTTTATTTGTAATGCTTTATGTAATGTTTGTCATTCCTTTATCTTATTCGTAATTTTATGTTTCTGTTTGTTATTTGTAATGTTTTTTTTTATTTCAGTGTATTTTAGTTTTTGTTTGTACATCCTATTTCTAAAAATAAAGTAGAAAATAACCAAACAAACGAATAGAAATGCAGATAAATAACATAATACAAATCAAACATAGTACAGATAAATAACGAAATACAAATACAATACAAGTTAAAAATATGGGAGATCTTTCTAAAGATTCCAAGGGGCTTCATAGTCGAAGATCTCTCCGTTGCTAATGGATTTATATTCCTCTTTAGTCGCCTCCATGATGTCTTCCTCAGTATCATTTATACACGCCTCTTCAATGATCTTATAATGATCATTGAATAACAGAACTTCTGTTTTCAATTCATACCATTTTTCTATTATATCAAGGGTGCTACGATGGTTTTCTTAGGTCGTTTCAGCATTGGTGTTGAAGGTATTTGTTAAACGGGTCCAAAACATTGTATCATTGAAGCTTATGTTCTCGTACATATTAATATATGCACGAATTTGAACCAAGTACTCCTCAGCAGTCCATGGTATTGAACCCATTATGAGAGATATGAAGTGTATGCAATGATATAGATTAGATGAAATGATAAAGATTTTAGAGTCATTTTCTAGTGAAATCTAATTTATGAAACCATACATTGAATATAATAAAAAATAAGTACTACAAAAATAATACTTTTTCATAAAAACCATTTGTTAAAAGAAATGGAGTCGTAAAAAACAAATAATAATATTATATAAAGTTCCTAAAAATAAGTTTTTCATAAGTGTCCCAGGTAATATTCGTCATCCTATTTCTTTATATAAAGCCCACATCTCTATATCGCTTTTCAATTTTCACTGGTCCCCCGAAACAACCATTTCCATAAACATGCATACATAAACTCCATAATCCCCTCTATCAACAATTTTTTCCTGCTGCGACACCGTACTTAATGGAGTCTAGCTCTAAGATAATACTATCCCTAAAACTTTGGGATTATCCACCAATTTTGTACTTACTGAAGTAATTCATCGATACTAATGAATCATAAATGGTTACTATCCAAGTTTTTAAATCTAGCACTGCCAAAAACCAATGGGAACCAACAACGTTTATGAGGAATAAAACCAACAAAAAAATGAATAATTATATATATAATAATTTGAAATGGTAATATTATATATATAAATAAATATTAAACTAACCATATCCACATCCTTCCATTTAGGCAAGCCTCCGCCACCATTTTCTACAGTCCTAAAAAAATGTGATTTTCCAGGTTCCAAATGAATTTCTTGAGGGTATATAGTCCACCTTGCAGACGTCAGCTGTTTTTCCATGAGCAACGCACTCCATATTGCAATATGTTGTGTATCTTATGATACAAATGTTATAATTATTTATATAAATTTTCGTCTAAAAAAGTAGGTAAAATATAACGAATGTTACCGAAGAAATTAACCACCCAAAGTCAGTAACTGCAAGTAACCTTGTCCAAAAGTCCACATCCAGTGGAAATAAATACAGCCTGTGTTTAGTGTGGAGGTTAAAAGAGATCATACATCATTCTTTCCAAAAAAAACCCTTGTACTAGCATCCCCATAAATGTCCAACAGTAGATGATTTGAAACATCACCAACGTCTTCATTTGCTTTTTCGGGACACTCCACTGCTTTGCCTTTTTTTTTCCTTCCTCTGGTGACTTTCTTCAAATTTGGTGTGAAGTCAATCTAATTAATTAAAATGTTACTTAATTATGAACAAGGTAATATTTTATAAATACACCAAATTTAAATTAGATTAATACCAGTGTGTACGACGTCTGATGATACTGTGAAGGACCCCTCCTTCGTTGCGGCCTAATAATAGGAGCGACTGTTTTTTTGTGATGTTGAACCACCTCTGGTGACGGCTCAACATATTGCTCCGTAGTTGTAGGCCTAAATTCCCGCTCCAAACCATGAACAAAGATATCATCATAAATCATCTCCGGACCAGGGGAATACTTTTCTTCCTCCTCTTCATTTACCATGTCCTCCACACTAAACCCTGTATTTGGTTTATTAATTTTCTATAATACAAGGTCTAATTGATGAGTCATTTCAACCACAACGCCTATTAGACGCTTCATCGATGACTTTGTTCTCGTCTTCGTCGTCTTTACCAAACTTGCTGATATGTCACTTGAAATATGACTAATTTGGTGCGAGGAAGAAGCACTTGTGGCCGTTTCAGTGGAGGATGTTTCCGACTTGTACTTTTTCTTCGAGGAGGTGAGGCAAAAAAAGGTGGTGAACTTTGTTGCCATAGGGGAGATTCTATATGGCTCAAAGTCCAATTTACATAGCAAATATAAAACGGCCCCATGATCTCCGTCTCGTTTGCCACGACAGCAAGAAGCTGGTTATTAGGCTGCAAATATCATATTGTTAGTTTAACAAGAAAAACATTGTAATTTTTAACTATATATATATATATATATATATATATATATATATATATATATATATATATAATTATAATATAAAAAACATACCACAGAGACGTTGATTATTCGACGACATTGATCCCAATATAATGGTGTTTTTCTACTCCGCGACCTCATTCGTGGCAATTCTGTCGGCGTGTGAATATAAATCTGTCTTCCCTCTGGGAACGTCTCCAAAATCCATATCTACGAAAAAAGGGACGTATGATGCTATTATAGTATAAAAATGAAAGTACAACAGTATTATATAGTACAAACGGAAGTACAATGTTATTATGGTATAAAAATGATAGTATGATAATTAAATAAAGTTCCATTTGAAACTAACCTTAAACGGAAGCATGAAACGGGAAACTGTATACTTATGTACTTTCTTCGACTCAGGATTGGTCGCCGTAAATAGTTTAAATTTCTCAAATTTCTCAAACATTCCACGCATCAACTTCGAAGTATAGGTCCATAAATATGTAACCCATGGAAACCTACAATTTACATTTTAATTATTATACTTATTTTGTAATTATAAAAAAATGTACTACCTGTTCCAATCTTTTATATTATTTTCAAGCTTATATACTGCCGCGGGAATGCACGTTTTCACGTATCGTCTGTGGAGACATTTCAACACAAAAACAAGTTGGATAAGCATTACCGCATCTGCATCCCTGAGTCGCATATATTGTGGAGACATAATGTACTCTTCTAGATGTTTGAGCCGCAAAATTGAATCTGTAATGTATGGGAACAACCGAGCCCGAAGATTTGAATTTGAGCGGCCTCTTTCTTCATGGAGTAAATCGACATAAGGACCAACTCTTAGCCCACTTATCAAAATATACTCCATTTCACCAAAATCCAACTACACCCTTTGTATCTCAAACTGAAACCTCCCAGTTTCAAACACTTCCTGAGACCGTACTTAATGCAACATCATCAAATGCAAAAATAAGGGGTCACCATTGGGGGCATGCATTCCTAAGATTTTCGAAACGGTGAAGCTTCAAATAATGCTCGTTGCGGTGGAGTTAACTGCGTAAAATAGTTTTTAATGATGGTACCGACGACGCCTTTTAAAGTTCAATCGGCTTTTTGTCTGAGATCATCATGCTACAAAACATATACATTTAATTTAATATAAATCGTTAGTAATTGAAAGAAAAAATAAAGTTTTTAAATTACATAGTAAAATGGGTTAAGGCAAAAAATAGCAACGTACTTTCAATTTACATTAAAAAAATACCCAATTATACCATTCACATCAATTTACATTAAAAAATGAATAGAACGTACTTTCAATTTAGAAATTTTTATTTTTCTATTGAGGATATCATTTTGAAATTAAATTTCTATTAAAGGGCAGAAAAAAAGGAAAACACCAATTTTAAGTCATTCCGCGGAGGTGAAGGTCACTCTACGGAGCCCCCTCTGCGGAATGGATCTTCATCTCCGCAGAATGGATCTTCACCATTTCAATTCCCTTTCTAGTCCATTTCAGCCTATTTGCAGGTTTTCAATTCCATATGCATACCATTTCCATCCTAAATCTAAAGAATACAAAAAGGGCATACATAAAATGTGAAAAAGGAATACCCGAGAGTCGTATCCATCGGTAAAAATGTTAAGGATCTACCCATCCATCTGTTGTCATCGGAAGGGTTGCCATCGTTGGAAGGGATGCTTTCATTGCAGTGGTTATCGTCGGAAGGTTGCGGAATACAAAGACCCGATATTACGGGGGAACGTCTACATTGAGGGACCAAAGGGGAGACCAATGGGTACCAAAGAGGAGACCTGATAAAACAAAACGGAGGGATGCATAGGGGCAAAAATTACAAAAATAACCCCACTCAGTGGGATATGGAGAGTCCACTGACGCCGTAGAGGACCCTCCGCGGAATGCATGTCTATTGTTGGAAAGATGTATTTTTTTTACTAAATTTTGATATTTCCCCCAAAAATATGTTTATTGGTAGCATTTTCACTTGTTTTAATATCGGTCATATCGACTATTAGATGAGTATTACACTAGTGTGTGTGTGTGTGTGTATATATATATATATATATATATATATATATATATATATATATATATATATATATATATAGGGTTTGGTTCATGTGAGATAAGACATTCGTGAGACAGGAGGACAAGATCTGAACCAATCATCTATTTTTATCAATATCTGAGATCAAATAACTTGGAGGTGGTGGTGTTTTTGTAAATAGATGGAACTTTGGGATTTACTCTTAGACATAGAGGGGTAATATTGTAACTTTTCAATTAGCATTCTGCAATCACGATTCAAACAGAAATGCTTCTCATTCTTCTCCACACCAAAAACCTCTCATTCATGTAAAATCCTAGATTAACTCGTTCCAGATTTCTACACGATTGCATAGATATTTCTTTCATTCTAAACCCTAGAAAACAGATTCATCATGCTCAATTTTCATCTCTTTATGCTTTGGCATCTTGTTTCCAGTTTTCATTTGTTTCAGATTTCATCACGATAAACCACTAGAACAAGCACAAAAATGGCTCATTCTACACAAGCAAAATCCGATAAACACCCGGTTAATCTCCACTTCGCATTTACCTACTTATCAAAAGGTGTAATTAGATGCAATAATCTAGAAAATTCCATCAATAAAACCCTTTCTTGTTCGATAGGAAGGCATCAAAAACCCCATAAATCTCAATAATCAAATAGATTTCAAGCTCCAGTACAACAATTTGAAGGTTTTTTCTTCTAATCGCGCATCAATCATGACTCACTCTACTAAAAGCGATTCTAATTATGGCTTGCATTTGTGTGTGATTTGCTAAAAGTAGCTGATTCTCAATTAAAGGCTTGAGATCTAAGTTTTTAAATATAAAACTTCCCCTGATGACTTAATAGATTCAGAACATGAGGAAATTACATCTATTGCAGGTATTTAGGTTTCAATAATTGATAAATCATTTTTTATCTTCTTTTAATGTCTTAATAATATTGGATTTGCTTATTTGGTGAATTATAGATTTAATTTTAAAAGTTGATTTGGTGATTAATGACATGATCTAATACTAAATTAGTATAATATGGTTTGATATGTTTAGTATCCTGGATATGCTTATATGATTCTGATTTGTATTTTGATATATATAAATATGTGGATTATCAGTTTAATTTTTAAATTTGGTATTCAAGCGAATCTCTTGTATGTTGTAAAGCTTTAGAATGTTACTAATATTTGACGTTTGTAGTTAATTTAAGGTTGTTTGTTTCATATTCATCACAACAAAACTCTAAAACGGTCACAAAAAAGGCTCATTCTACACAATCAGATTCTGATTATATACCTTATCAATCTCCACTTTGCAAAACATGAACTTGATTAAACCACTAAAGTCTACATATTCTAGAATGTTTTATGTGATATTCTAATTTTCCTATGACTGTTGAAACATAAAAAGTGAACCTCTAGCAATCACAAGAATGAAGATCCGAAGTCAGCAGTTTCCGAGATTGGTGAAGGCCGAAATAGAGATGGAGTACGAGATCGAGATCATTCCGAGATGCAGTGAAGATCCAAGATTAGTTGTCTGTTTGAACATTTTAATGTTTCTTGTCTTATTAATGATGTAACATTTGATAGGACTTATCTTTTTGTATCTTTTAGATAATCAGTTGTCAGTAGCTGATTATTAACTAGTCCTAGGAATGTTTCCAAGTTTGTACGATGTACCTCCTTAGTCTATTTAAGGAGTGTTTTTGAATGACAAGAAATATGTGTATTGTTACTCCAAAGATAGCAAAAACTCTCTTTAATTCTCTTTCATTTTTCTCTCAAATCAAGATCTTTCAGAACATTCTTCTTGTTCATTAAATGTCTTTACATTGATTATACTCCTAGTTTACTTCATTTAATATTGAGTACTTTGTTGAATATTTCATTCAAGTCTTGACTGGTATTACCAGACTCGACTGGAACCTCTAATTAAGAGAAGACATTGATCTTAAAGATTAACTGAAGGTTTGAGTTTTCAAACCTTGTCCTTGTGCATTGATTCTAGTACTCACACTGACGTATAATGTATGTTTTAGTATAATTTTTGATATATTCTAACTTGCATGTTTTAGTTGAATACTTTATATATTTTGGATTGATATTTATTTTATATATTATTGTTTGTTATTGTGAGATATTTTAACTATCATAATTATTATAATGTATGTTCTAGTAGAATATTCTATATATTTTTAAATGTTATTACATGATATTCTTGTTATTCTATGAATTGAAATGTGTGTTTTAATATAAAATTCTATATATTATGCTTGCTATTATGTGCTATTGTAAAAATTCAAAACCCTAGAAAACAGAATCACCAAGCTCGATTTTCATCTATTTCTGAATCAACATGATTTTCATGATTATAATTTGTTTCAAATTTTATCACGATAAAACACTAAAAGGTTACAGAAATGATTATAAACCTGATCACTCTCCACGTCACAAAACAGGTATTGATTTTTTCTATATTTTATTTATAACTTGGTAATAAAGTTATTATGATTTACGTAGTTAGAGTTTATGATATAGTTATTCTGATGTATAAATCAACAACAATTCAAGAAGTTTTATTATACATGCTCTTTAATTATTCTTGATTTTGATTCTAATCATTCAAAGATTATGATTTATTAAACATTTTTTGTGAAATGGTGTACTGTAGCTAGGTTTAGCAATGAATTTATAACATCATATAACTTTTTTTCTAGATTTTCTATGATGTTACAGGTGTTTAAACTAAAATTAAATCTCATATGTTAATGTTATTTTGCTTATTAGTTGAATATTCTAGAAAAAGCTTAATAAACTGATGTTTCCAGAGTTAATATTCTAGGTATTCTGATATGATTTCATATGTTAGTTCATAACTTTATTTTATTATATGATGTAGTGTTTTATAACATTTAAGTCTAATTGTTTATGATTTATTTAGAGTTTACGATATAGATTTATTGTATGCATGGTTGTAAAAAACGCTCGAAGTTAGCTAGTCGGTGGACCAGGGTTAAGCGATTAATCGGCTAGGCGGAGATTAATCGGGGGATTAATCGGGGACTATTAATTGCTAATTTGCTGAATTTTAAAAAATTAAATATGACTAATATCATATCAAAGTTCATAAATACCACTAATATCATAACAAAATAGGTTAATATGATTAATACAACACTAATCCTGCCTCAAATACTTTCCATTTAGATAAAACTTCTTCAAAAAGTTCAAATTTCATCGTTTTATACTGTTTCACTCATTATGTATGTAGGGATTAATCGTTAGGCGCCCTCT